AAAAAAAAAAAAACAATAATTTACTAAGAAATATAAAGAACAAACAACAATCTTTTCCAGTTTTTTGTAATCTGCTATTAAGCGATTTTTTTTATACTGTGCAAGACGTGTATCATTGTCTGATCTACATATTTGGGTACAGTTTTATCTACTTTAAACAGACTTAACAGACGATTATAAAAGTGGCAGTTTACACGGTAAATGAAATAAAAAAATTGGATACACTTTTTTCATCAATTTTAAACAAAGGAGACTAAGTGTTGACGAAATTAAATCTCATTAAAAATTCTTATATATGTGCGAAATAAGAAGGAAAAACAATTTCTGGCATTAAAAGGTATTATTTTAAATGACAAAAATAATATTTTTAAATTTTTTTATTTTTTTTCTTCTCTGATTGCAATTTTTATAAGTTAAAAACAGGTTGCTATTATTTACCTAAATAGAATTTTTTTAAATTTTTTGCTCTTCAGCAAGTATAAAATACATTTTATAAACTTAATTGTTCGCAGATGTCACGTTCTATTCTGTTTATAGGTTCTTGCTTTATTATCAGATCAATCTATTTCAGAGCACTAACATCACCTATACTTTGAATTTAAACCCTAAAATATGAAACGCAAAATGATGTGTTTTTCTTTTCTTAAGGTCATTCTTTGGTTCGCTCACAGATTAAAAAATTATCGGTTTTTGATACGGTTTGCACAGAATCTTAGCCTTAGCTTGCTTGTCATTTTGAAATACAGTAAAAGTAACGGTACTGAACGCTTTTCCACTTATAACGTTGGTGACACTTTTTGAAACTAGTTTTATCTTCTTTCTGCATCTTTTTTTCCCCCTGACAAAGAGGCTTTCTTTGGTAGTTTATTATTCAGAGATTTTAACTGCTGGATAACAATTTCGTGAACCATTCGCATTTAACGATGGACGCTAATTCAGTTCGCAATGTTATTAGTAGTCAAGCCTTTGATGATGGTTTTGTTAATGTTATTCTATCACACGATCAATGTAGAGTTAAAAATGCAAACCCCAAAAAATGGAGAGATTGCAATGGTCGTAGTTTCTTAAGCGACACGGACATTTACAGCACGCTGACTGTTTTACGTCATAGATAACGATCTTGAGAAATCATTGATTACTCAGAGTTGTTTTGTAGTTTTAATAATTAGTTCTTAGTCTGTAGCAGTTTTTGAGTACAAAACTGGAAGAAGCAGAGGGCAAAAGAAATGACTTGGTTCAATGGTTTAAATTTTTACCAGTCATCTTCTACTTTATTACCTTCATAGGGAATCTCTGCTCTAGTTAGGCCAAAATGCAGTCGTCAAATTTAAATTCAAAATTTTCAATTGGTAGCAATTATTTTTCACTTTATTTTTCAATAAGAAAATGATGCAGTGAGGTGTCGATGTTTTCTAGACAATAATATTCTGTTTATATAATTCACAGTTAAACCTTGTTTTGTGTATTTTAGTTTTCTTTTTATACGTGGGTGTTTTTGTAATTACTCTGTGTTTGATTCTAAAATTAAAATTAGCAGTTAGAAAATGGAATTCGTTTAAGTTATCGAAGCCTGACAATAGCTTTTGACATCTGTAATCTACCCAATAGAAAAAATAGATCTACCAGACACTGATATTAATCTGCTTTACAAGGGTCATTCTTTGTCACAGCTTTAGCATTCTTTAATTTATTTAAACTAGTTTCTAATGATATGTTTAGATTTCAGCTAATAATTACTTTGATATTACTGCACTGTTTCTTTAGTACAGCAGTGTTCTAAGGAATTGGATGTTAGCGAAAAAATTAAAAGTTTTAGTTCTGTAATTCTGACAGCTCAGTATCTGTCAAAAAGGTTTCCACTTTTGATCATAATCTTTTTCAATCAGCGAACATAGAAGGTTTGTTTTATTAAACTTTTCAATTTTATCATCTGTTGTTTGATAGTGATCTGACACCTTTATCGCTTTCTTTTTTTCGTTTCTTTCTTTCCTCGATAAACGCTCCAACAAATTTTTTTTGGCGGATAATCAGTGTACAAGAAATTATCAGATAACAAATTAATTTCTAAAAAAATTTCTTTTTATACGCTTTTCTTTCACTCGCCGCATAATTATTGTTGTTAAAAAATGTCGCAAAATTATATAAATTTGAACACTATTGAATGGAATTTTTGAATATTATTTTGAATAATTATTTCACTATTTGAGTTTTGACACCTGTGCAAAAAATAATTTATGAAAAAAATGAAGAACATTTTCTTGAAACTGAGAAATTGACAGAACTGAAAGATTATATGGTTAGAATAACTGCTTTAATTTACTGATGAGCCACTGAAATAATACTGCGTGTGGTCAACAATTTTCCAGTCAGAATGAATTGTTTTCTGTAAAAATTGCCTTCATTGTGCTCTGTGGCTATGGAACTGTACTGCTCTTATTTTCGTAAAGCCTTAAAGTTTTCAAAGATGTTGAAGTGGTTTCTGTCGTTTGTATCCGTTTTTTAATTAGTGTTTTTCTTCAAATTCTGTTTGTCATTTGAATACTGCAAGTAGTCTTCTTGTTTTTGTTGTTCTGGCATTTAGGTAATATAATACTCTACGTGTAATTGGAAATACCAAAGTCCCTTTTTAGCATTTCACTGGTCATCACTATTTGACCGGGACCGGTGGCAGAAGTTTTCTCAAGGTTTTTATGTTGAGGCCACTAGAAAAAAACCAGTAAAATGTCTGTCTACCCAACTTCGGCTCCAGGCATTGATACTGACGAGAAATGTTTAATTGCTCAACTTCGGAACTGCTTGAATCTTAAGATGCCTTCCGGTATTCCAGCCGATCTTGACACAGATCTGAATTTATCCCGCTGGTTGCGTGGCTACCAGCGAAACGTTGAAAAGATAGTTGAAGTAACGATTTGACGTCATTGACATTCTTAAATTTTGATAATAGAAATATTTAGTTGAATAACTGTTTGGAACCACATAAGTGTTACAGTGAAAGAAAATTTCAAACGTGAAGCTTAAAATTTACAAAATTATAGTTCGTACTTTGTTTCACCTGCAACTTTTACAGAAATCTTTGAAACTGTTGTGTAGACCATTAGCGGAACAGACGTGTTACACAAACAGTTTTGTTATTGTTGAAGAGCAAATACAGTTCAAAAGTCTGCCTTAATTTTAATGCGATTTATTAGTTTGCTTAGTCTATTAGGTTATTTACGTTGTCAAAGTTCTTTTGTAAAGTCTAGAGTAAAGCTTAACTCTTAATGCGATAACCTGTATAAGTCCACAGAAGCTAGTAGCAGATTGGATTGAACAAATAAAACGTTGTTTTTGTAGCATTTACAGAATTCAACAATTATTTTTAAACGTTGTTATATAGTTTTGATGTTGCTGCAAATTTTCACTTTTTCTAGGTGTTCCCAGTGTATTGTGAATCTCGTCAAGCTGCTGGGTTTACCGGTGAGAGCTTTCCAGAGAAATTCTTTGAACTTCCCGAGATTAAACCTTACTTACCCTTTATTGCATCTTCAAGACTGGATGATCGCGTTTGGTCTGATAAACATAATGCATTTTTATTTGTTGAAAGAGCTTGGTCGCAACCAAAAGAGGTTTACTTTTTTTAGTATGATAGAAGTCGTTCATACTTAATGTCGACTTGGCTAAATGTCCCAAAATCTTTTTAAATTCCTGCAGTGGTGTTGCACCGTAGCTTTAAAAGTCTCCAATGTATCAGAGTTTTTCAGATAGTTAAAGCGATGAAATGCAGCGACTACCTCATTCACTGTTTTGGTTACTCAGAAATGCTTTTGCAGGTGAGCCAGTAAATCACTGTTTTTACTTGTCTTCCACACCGCATGCTGCTTAATTAATTTGTATTGGCTGAGAAAAATTGGCCATTAAAAAAATGCATAAATCTTTAAAGTTTTCAGGGTAGAGCATCGGATCGGTAAGTCTCCACTGCCTTGTCCTGAAAAATACATTCAAAATCAAATATGACTTTTATTATCTTCAAACTGCTTTAGCTAATTCTACGGCGAGAAAAGCGCCAGGAGTCTAACAAAGGGCCTGTGCAGTTCATAGTTCTATTCGACCTTGGCGAAGTCAATCTTTCAGACTACCTAAACCCGTTGAGTACACATATCAAACTTTGGCAGTTACGGTCAGATTTGTGGCAGGACTGGTAAGTATTATCCGACAAGGAGATGAAATGTGAAAAAGACGAGTTTTTTGGACTTCTTTACCCGGTAGTTTGTGGCTGAGT